GTGTGGAGTTGGTCGTAGGTATATGGGTACGCGTCTGGTGGCCGGCGCCAGCAGCTCGCCGTAGACACTTTTTGGAAGGTTGGTGCGTCCGGCGGCGCTCTTGACGTAACGTTCAAAAATGGGTAACTTGCAACATGTGTATCCACAATATCATTTAATATGTCCTTATAGCTTGGAAACTCCGCCAAAAAACCAGCTATTTTACTTTCCTGACAACATTCTAATAACCTATTCTTGGAATTCCTACGTTTTTTGGAATGAATTTTGCGCGTTATTTGAAATATCGATTTTTCTCTTTCTACAAGATGCTCAACACATGGCCCCAACAGTTTAAGTGAACTTGTTAAAAAAAATATGGCTAAATTTCTCCGAAGGACGACACCATACCTACTTGAGAGCCATTAACTTTCCGATAAATTAGTGTTGACTGAAATATTTTACTTTTTGATCCCTCCGTTCCGAGAACTAACAAATAAAATACCACGCGCCCCGGCTTTTGTTATATATGATCCACATGAAAGATCAACAAATTACTTTTGTAGTATACAGTTTTTAAAGAGCAATAGTTTCCTAGATATGTAAATCTGAAAGTTATTTTTATTCAATAATAAAAATTATACAAGAACAAAAGTGAACTGTTCCATAGATAATTTCTTCCTGGAACCTAATCTGCCATGGGAAGTGTTCCATCATCCTCCAGCTTTTATAAATTACCAACAATTAGCCCAGAACCCCAAAACTGAATTTTAGGTTTTAAGATTAGTTTTCACTACTAATTGTAAAAGAAACTAGATGTTGATCTAAAATTTCCCATAGCCGACCACTTTTTTTGGGGCTTGTGTTTTTATAACGGCTTCAAGTCAAAAAAGTTTCCTCCTCGACTGCATTTTTTTCTCAATCTTAGATGAATTGGATAAGTTTAGTATCTTCCTAATGATTGTTTCTTCATGATTCCTTCCCTATTCTACTGGTCGTAGAAAAGGCACCAGTACTGACTGTTATCACCAATGTATGAAATTATACTAGGTTTAGAAAAATCAGGGCGTAATAACTTAATAAGAATCATGTAGACCTTTTCTTTCGATTCATTACACAGCCTCACACACAAACACAAAAAATATTTTTCGAGTCTGACTATGTCTATCACATGTTTTCGGGTCGCTGAATCCGAATCTGTGATCCATTTAACCCCATCACATCATGTTTTCTGATAACCCCATATCACCTAATAACCCAAGCTGTCAAGTCCTATTACACACAACGGTCTTGTAAAGGGAGCTGTGCACCCACGATAACCCCATAATCCTAGACATTCAACCTCAAACCTCCTAACCCCATAACAGTATAATCCCATAACCCCATAGCCGAAATCTCCAATAAACACGTTACTAAGTAGTTTTACATGATCTCTCATCGCGGGATATATTGAGGCTCTATAAACAGAATATATTTAACCCTACGATCCCCCAACCCCCTAACCCCATTAACCCATAACTCAAATAATGACGTTACGCAGTAGTTCGATTGTTTGATGCAAGGAACATAGTCTATAGCGTTATTGGCTCCCAGTTTCATCATCTCCATTAGATTCTCCGTCAATTTTAGATCATGGCTTTCATGCCGTCATGGAAGGCATAGGTAGAAAACGTAAGAGAAAGGGTTTCGGATGCCCAGAATCGCCGGCTGGCTGGTCAAGGTGCAAAAGCGGGCCCCGAGAAATAAAGCTTCATTTGGCATGACATTTTTGAAATTAACGGGTAATCTAATGGGGATGATGAAACTGGGGGTCAATAACGATATAGACTATGTTCCTTGCATCAAACAATCGAATTACTGCATAACGTGGTTATGGGAGTTATGGGGTCATGGGTTTATAAGGTTATGAAGTTAGGGGATTGGGCATTATAGGGTTAAATATATTCTGTATATATATATTAACCCTGATATATCCCGCGACGAAAGAGCAAGTTAAACTACTGAATAACATGGTTATTGGAGTTATTGGTTATGGGAATAGATGGTTATGGGGCTAGGAGGCTTGAGGTTGAATGTATAGGATTATGGGGGTGCACAGCTCGCTTTACAGGACCGTTGTGTATAATAATAGCACTTGATAGCTTGGGTTATGAGGTGATATGGGGTTATCAGTAAAACCTGACGTGATGGAGTTAAATGGATCACGGATTCGGATTCAGCGACCCCGAAAATGTGTAGTAAACATAGTCTGACCTTCAGACTCGAAAAACATTTTTTTTGTGTGGCCGTGTTATGAAACTGTGCCAAAACTTTTTATAAATTTTTAGTTAATTAAAGTAACATTGATAAGTTTTTTATAAACATATGATTAATCTAAAGCTTCTTATCATTGAGGGACAGTTAAGCTCTCGGCAACAGTTAAGATTCATAATAATGCTTTTATAAATACATATGTATTATGTTGTTTCTATGGGTATTTTTATCTATATTTATTAATATAATTAAATCAATTTTGAACTTTCTGGATAATAAATTCTGTAAGAATCAATATATCGAAGTAAGATGTAAAAGGCAATATAGTGAGGAAAATTAAAAAGACTGTTACACTTATTAAAACTTACTACAAAATAATCCACGTGAAAAAGAAGTTTTGAGCAACATGTACAATTTGTAATACATAAAGGTTTTCGAAAATTCACTGGTTTCATATACAGGGTGGTCCAATTTCCGATGCGGAAACTTCAGGTACCGAGATTCAAAAATAATATGAGTTTGTTATATACATTATATTCGAGAAATGCTTCGTTAAAAAAATACAAGGTGTTCAAGATTGGTTTAAAAAAATAAAATTTATTAATTTGCCAAACGGCTAAAGATATTTCAATAAAATTTTGTAGACGTCAACAACCATCGAGAGGGCACGTTTTGCAATCAAAAACATTATTTTTAATTTTGTCCTTGGCATCCGTACTAGTACGTTACTGGATATTTCTAAAGAAAAAATTAGTACACTACTGCTTCTTTATAAAATAAAAATCAGTTTAAGGATTCTTCATACAATTTGAAGAAAAATGCTCTCTTTCGATTTTTCTGCACGACTCAGCATTTTCGAGTAAAAAAATGAAAAACCCCTTTAACAAGCACAATGTAAATGTAATTTCATTTTTTATGTTAATAAAACTGTACAGGGAACTGTACAACAACAACAACAACAACAATGTAGTCCACCCACCTCAATACATTTTCAACATCGTTTACCTATATAGTGAATTTATTGCATTAGATACTTCATTTGGCTTTTGCCGCACATCATTGCAGGCTTGCTGAATCCTTAAAACTAAATCATCTGTTGTTAATACTGGAGTAGCATAAACTTTGTCTTTTACATTTCCCCAAACGTAAAAGTCCAGTGGATTAAGATCCTGGGAGGCCAGACCACTGGTCCAATACCATTAACCACATCATGATTCACGTCATTCCTTCCTAGACGGCTAATCCACAACGTGGCAGATAATTAGTATTTAGCCATTCCCTTACATCGATATCATGCCAATTCGTTATTCCACGTCTACTGAATGAGGATTCATCCGTGCACAGAATTTTATGCAAAAAGTTAGAATTTTCTTCCGTCGAGTTTAAAAGCCATTGGCAAAACCTTGTTCGCTTTTCAGATCCCCAGGGTGTAAATCATGAACGGGCTGTAGATGATATGCATGGCTGTGGTCATCTCGTAATTTTCGTAATATTTGACTGAGAAATTTGTAGTTGCTGAGTTGCCCTGCGAGAGCTATGCCTCGGATTATCATCGAAAGTATGAAGAATACGATTCCGATGGTTATTGCGACGGTTTCTGTTATGTTCATTATTAACACGCAGACCAAAGTTACGAAACTTTTGATGTGTTCCAATAACGACGAGCATCTGGAATTCTCCTATTTGAATAACGTCACGATCTGCCACTTCCATGAATATCTGCGTATTCTTCATTACTAAAAAGCATTTTTACGGATAGCATTAATAATAACTGTAACAATAATAATTATTATTACATAGCAAATTACTAGAGAGCTAACTAAATGTAATACAGTTGCTAATTAATTTGACAGACAAAGTTATTTTGTCGTACTTGTTCAATTGTTTTTCGGAGATCACTTTGAAAATGTTGATTGGTACAGAAAAATCGAAAGAGAGTATTCTTCTTCCAAATTGAAAAATAGTGAGCTGTGAAAACAAATGTCCATCTTGTCAACATAATGACATTAGTTACTATTAATTCTTTGATTCGACAAATCGAGAAGTAGTAAGTGGTTATTAAGTTTTTAATTTAAGGCTAATAGGGTGACAGTAGTTAATTTGACTTTGGCAGATATGGCAGATATGCATTTATTAACCACTACTTCTCGATTTGCCGAATCAAAGAATTAATAGTAACTAATGTCATTATGTTGACAAGATGAACATTTGTTTTCACAGCTCACTATTTTTTCCTGACATTCATCGGCCGTTAAGATATTTGTAACCCATCAATAAATGTCGTTTTTCTCCAAAACGGAGCATTTAAACAAAAATTTACAAAAGAGATAAAATGATCAGAAGAAAATTCTGCGTTTGATATTTCAAGAAAAAGCTGCATAGGCGTACATAGAAATAATTGGAGGGGATAAAGGGTACTGCATCCCTCAGGTACCTCCATTCGCCCTTCGATTTTTTTAACCAAAATTACATGATAAGTATGCTGAAATAAGATAAAAGTACGTGCAAAATTTGAAGTGTGTATCTTACAAAACAATGGGATTATTAACAAAAATAGTTTTTTAAAATGTAACTTTAACACCCTATATATTGAAACAGGGACGCCCAAATAAAAAATTGCATAAGGGAAGTCGGATTATTTTTATCCAAAGAATATGTGGTTAATGGTATGGCCTTCTATTTTGGGACACCCTGTATAACAAACTCGTATTATTTTTTGAATCTCTATCGCTTCCTGAAGTTTCTGCATCGGAGACTAAAAGATATTTGACTTAAGGGGCAAGATAATATTTTATTTATTTTCTCAACAATATTTATTTAACTTAACAATTCTTTTGCCATATCGCATTAAAACTTATATTAGGTGTACTCTGGGCCTAAACACGCTAACTTTGAGCGAGTCCAGCTTGTTCACGGAAGCACTTTCCTATAGCTATAGCTGTGTCTTGAGGATCATCCTTCTCGACGGCACATTTGTTTACAGCTTCGTTCAACTTGGCCTCATCTGAAATGTTGCGACCGAGAGCTTTCTTCAAGTTTTCTTTATTTATTTTACCCTCCTCATTTAGAAAACCAACTTTTTTGGATATGCAAAAAGCGTAACTACCAACCACGGATTTATCCAGTAGTTCTCCTTTGATATATTTTTTTAGGGACTCCTCATCGATGTGACTTTTGGGGTCGGCTTGGCATTCGTTATGCAGCGCCTTGAATTTCTCCCTTTCTTCATCAGTAGCGCAGTGGATCTATATATTTTCATATTATTAATGATTTCTGATAACTAAAAAATAGCCTAGAGAAAGGACATAAAAACTTTATCAATTTTCAAATACAGGGTGTATCACAACACAAAAATTTTTTTTTAATTTTAAATTAACTTTTTGCCTATTCGCCTACTTTATAAAATTAATCGGTTGTCAGATACTTTTAATTTTATTTGTTGTTTCTTTACAAGAATAGCGGTCCAAAATAAACCTGATTAAAGGGCAATTACCAACTTGTACATACATAAGTAGGTATATTAAAATTGGTAATGATGGTACACCAAATGTGTAATGATGGTGGTTGATTAGGTACTGAAGAAATATTATTCGGGTAGTTTAGTAATTCGGTTCAAAAATATTCTAGGTGAATAAATGTTTTCTACTTTGATTGTTTTTAATTCGATTTTATAATACTTGAAAAGAACAATGTTTAAAACAACATAAAACAACCTGATTTGGCTTACCTATCTTCGTGGCAAAGCCGTACAACGATATTTTATATACTTTTTTCGTTGCAAAAACAATAATAAAACGGCAATGGCTTAAACCGATTGATATTCGAATTTAGGAGCAACTTAGAATTAATTTACAAATAAACATTCAATATATAACACATATTTAAAACCCGATTACAAAAAATCAAATAGGGAATAAATAAATAAATGAACATATTTAGGTATTTGTTTAAATGCTATATGCCTCGAAATTTTCTACACCCGATAAGTAAGCCATTCAGGTGGTATACCATATTTTATTTCCTGAAGTACCTATTTTCATATACATAAAATCAAAAACAATACCTAGAAATTACATTTTGTACTAAATATTGAAAATATCGAAACATCGGCCTAAGGTGACTGCGACTACCATGTAATTATTCATATATGAACAAGAAACTGTTAAGATGTATCACTTACCGAAACCACCAAGGTGGCAATAAAGACAAGTATAGCACAAGTTCTCATCATTAAATAGTTTCTGAATATTGGTCATGTAAGAGGTGTTTTTATATATGCATATATCAGATATGCTATTATCTAGGGTTATGCAAGGCCAAATATTATGCTTATGCTTTTCAAAGTTTGTTGTTATTTAAAACAAAACGCTGAATAATAATGTTGATTAACAGCAATATCAATCTCATAGCGAAGTTGTGGCAAAAAAATATTAAAATGTATTATTCTGCTTTACCTCTTAATTGCTCCTAAGGGCGCCATATTCTTTAAATAGTGTTTTCCACAAAGACAAATAATTTCAAACATTTAATAACTGAATAATCTAAAGCTTATCAAATAATAGAAATGTTATGTTATGCCATCTTGGTATTTTCAAAGACGCCGCAGTAAAACGAATAAACAGGTGCAAAAAACGATCAAACCCTCAAGGTTTTAGGTACTGAAATCTACGAAAATACTAACTTTTTTATATACAACTCCACATGTAATTCTTATAATATTTACTTGCTTAGTCCTACATATAAAATTGTTTACTTTTATTTATAAGTACGTGAAAATAATTCTTAAAATGTGGGGTTAGGATAACTGCAAACGCATGTTTTACAAACGCTTTTTTTAGTTATTATTTTATTTGAGTATAAATAGAAACAATGAATAAACAGATCAAGGATTTTATTTTTGTGCTTACTTTTGTTCTACACGTCTTACTTTTCAAGATTTCAGTACCTAAAAAACGCCAGAAATTTGATATTTCTCGGCCAGGGATATAGCCACCTTAAACAACATTTGGAAAATTTTGCCACTATTTGTAACTCATATGGTGTACCCCAGAAAACAGATTTCTCATTCTATTCGAACAACGAACCATTTCCGATTTATCATTTTTTAGTTAGTCAGTAACTTTTAATTAAATTGAGTAATACAAGGTGATTTACAGTAAACGTAAAGCTATGAGTTATAGAGTTTCAAAAGTAATAAAGTTATGAAATCTAAGAACTTTTCACCATTTTTCTGCAATATCCTCGGCATTAGATAGATTAGATACGTAGGACAATTTTCCTCGAGACAGTTTTGACATTTTGTCTTCCTTATTTATGTGACATTATTTATGGACATCCAAAGGATTCAAGAACGATCATTCCTTCTCAAGGATTTACACATTTTATATTACTTACATTTCTTGTCTTAGGGCTATGACACACATGCTCAGTCATTGTTTGGAGACATGTTAATTATTGATAACACAACCCCACAAAAAAGTACTGTAACAGAGACAGTGTGTATTTTTTTATGCTGAATCCAATCCCCAGCCCAAAATCCTATTTAACAAGTTATTTTTCAGTAAAACGCTAAAATATCAATTAAAATAGAGTGAAATAGTGAGGATAAAGTAAAGCTTTATAATGAAAAGCAACAATTTGTAAATACTTTCTGTGGTATTTTTTGTAACGAGAAATAAAGGATTGAAAAGGGTAAGAAGGGTAGAAATCGGTTGTCGATTATTACGTTGAAAACATGTGAATATTTGTTATCTATCTTCCGGGCGTAAATATATGTGTAACTAAAGAAAAACGTAAATACCTGTAACAAATAAAGCCTCTTGTCGGGACAGGTCAGGACTTGGCTATTGTGATGCTTGGATGAGGTGATCCTTTCTTAGTCAGTGGCTACTAAATATGTCTATAAATGATTTGAAAGCATACCTGAGCACCCTATTATCTAGTTAACAAATGAATCAATAATTGCTGAATATGTCAGTATACTTCGCTTCTATTTGTAAATATGACTGTGTCTATTTAACATCAAACATATACAGGGTGTGATATATCTACTGCACAATCAATAAGCAACTGTGATACTACTTATCACCAAACTCGTTTGTATGTTAAACATCTAAAAGACTATGCTAAACAAATCTAAGCATTTTCGTACTGTTCTTGACATCCTTCCCGGTGTCAACTCCAGGTATCCAATGGATTTTAGGGGCAAACTCACAAAACATTCCCATCTTGTGGCACCGATTGGCCTGAGGACACCCTCCTGACTAATCCACCAGCACCAGGTGTTAACGGATGCAAAGGGCAAACTCGCGATGCACCCCACCTGAGTACCGTGACAAAAACATCACAAGACTCATTCAAAAACATTATCCATAGATCTCTACACTGTCAGTACTGACGAGCAAAACAGTAAAGTGCCTCAAATGCATAGACAACTTATTCACATCAAATGTCATTAAACTTACTAGTAACTGGCTAATCGATTGTGCAGGTTTGGCCCTTAATTCATAATAGCAATTCATCAACATCTTCTATAACAAGTCTTATTGTTACTCAAATGACATTTTACTATACTGGGTACATCTCGATATATGACTTTATTAATATATGCAAAGGACACTTAATTATTTCTTCAAAAGAGTATGCTGCTCGTCAAATCAAATACCTAACTTCTCAATAAGATTGACTACGTAAATTTATAGAACAATACAAATTAACAATTACTTTACAATTACAATTTACTTTATATGAAGTAGCTATAATCTCTAATAAACAAGTATTCTCAGTGAAAAAAACCCACAATTTGTACTTATGAATAAGCCAACTAAATAGGTATGCTCAGTGAGAGAACTCACAAGTTATATGAATAGGTTATAATTTATTATAGATAGGTATGCTCAGTGAGAAAAACTCACCTAATATTCAATATTCAATTGTGGCACAATTCACAATGTTTTCACGTCACGGTCACTACATAAAATGATGTTTAGGTAAAAGAGGCTGTCTGATATTTCTAATTTAAACAAAGCCTATGGGCGTCAACTAGCCACTCGAGCTTTTTACAAATACCAGATGCTATGCCGGCCGGGGCAAATATGTGCCTACTTTCTACGAGGGTGTTAATTGCACGCCTAAGATCAAATAACGAATGTTAGTGCAAAACAATGAGAAAAATCTCCTCTGACCGAAATAAAAAAAATATTGTTAGATTTCCAAGATAATAGTAATGATCAGGAGGAGTTCAAGAGCTACCTATGATCATATAGATTTTTAGTTGTACTAGTCAGTGGAATATCAAAGGCTAATTTCGGGGCACCTTTTTGAATTTTTTTCCAGTAAGAGGTTCTGTAGTAGGTAAAAAATAATTAACAACAAAAATAATCAATAACACGAAAATGATGAGTGTATTTTAAATATATACATATATGACGTAAACAGCATTATCGTTCAGGGGTTAATAGAAGGTTATGATCCATAATAATACTTTTTCAAATATATTTGTGCCACTTTTATAAATAAATATTTCTCAATATTAATTAATAGGATGACCTTAATATCGAATTTAACAAAAAAATAATTAAATAACAGATGTATGTTTACAAACAGAAGATGCTATGTCATGTTCGTTTCCGAGATATTTACAATTTAATGTGAAAAAGTGTCGAAATCGACAAATTTTCGGATTTTTTTTCTCAAAAACTACTGAACAGATTTTAATTCTAAAAAAAGCATAATAATAGGTAGATTTTCTACTTTAGGATATATTTTTTTGGTATGGGTCAATCATTTTATTGAAGGTCTAAAGCGAGTAAAAAAGTCTTTTAAAAAAATTATGATAACATTTCTTTAAATTTCCTTTTTACAATATCTTGATTTTTTTAGTAGATATATGTTAACAGTACAAATGTTCAAAATATCATTTTGTTTGGTTTTGTAGCCGGAGTAAGGTTTTTGCAAGTAATTAGTAAAATTCAAGTATTCGATTCGATTTTTGGTTTTATAAATGGCTAAAATTGACTTGAAATTTATACCAAAACTAAACTAAATAAGCTTTTTAAATCGTAAAATTAACCTAAAAATAATAATAATTGANAAAAATAATTAAATAACAGATGTATGTTTACAAACAGAAGATGCTATGTCATGTTCGTTTCCGAGATATTTACAATTTAATGTGAAAAATTGTCGAAATCGACAAAATTTCGGATTTTTTTTCTCAAAAACTACTGAACAGATTTTAATTCTAAAAAAAGCATAATAATCGGTAGATTTTCTACTTTAAGATATATTTTTTTGGTATGGGTCAATCATTTTATTGAAGGTCTAAAGCGAGTAAAAATGTCTTTTAAAGAAAATTATGATAACACTTCTTTAAATTTCCTTTTTACAATATCTTGATTTTTTTTAATCAATATATGTTAACAGTACAAATGTTCAAAATATCATTTTTTTTGGTTTTGTAGCCGGAGTAAGGTTTTTGCAAGTAATTAGTAAAATTCAAGTATTCGATTCGATTTTTGGTTTTATAAATGGTTCAAATTGACTTGAAATTTATACCAAATCTAAACTAAATAAGCTTTTTAAATCGTAAAATTAACAACAATAATAATAATAATAATAATAATAATAATAATAATGG